TACCACATCTTTATCTATTCATCTATGGATGGACACCTAGATTGCTTCCATATCATGTCTTTTGCAAATAATGCTGCAATGAACACAGTGGGGATGCATATATCTTCAAATTGGTGGTTTCATTTTCTTCAGATAAATACCCAGAACTGAAATTTCTGAATTGTATGGTAGTGGTATTTAAAATGTTATGGAACCTGTACATTGTTTCCCATGGTGGCTACACCAATTTACCTTCCCACCAACAGTGCATCAAGGGTTCCCTTTTATCCACATCCTTGCCAATACTTGTTGTTTCTTGTCTTTTTTATGACAGCATTCTGACAGGTGTGAGATGTATCTTATTGTAGTTTTTACTTACGTTTTCCTAATGATTACTGATGTTGAGCATTTTTTTCACGTATCTGTTCACCATCTGTGTCTTCTTCAGAAAAGTGTCTATTCAGGTTTTCTGCTCGGTTTTAATTGGATTATTTGTGTTTTTATGATGCTGAGTTTTGTAAGTTTTTTATATATTTTGGATGTTAACTCCTTATCAGATATATCATTTGCAAACATCTTCTCTCATTCAGTAGGTTGTGTTTTTGCTTTGTTGATGGTTTCCTTTGCTGTGCAAACCTTTTTGTTTAATATAGTTTCATTTATTTATTTTTCATTTTGTTGCCCTTGTCTGAGGGGACACATCCAAAAATATATTTCTAAGACCAATGTCAGAGAGTTTACTTCCTATATTTTCTTCCAGCAGTTTTATGGTTTCGGGTCTTAAATCAAGTCTTTGATCCATCTCGCATTTATTTTTGTATGTGGTTTACAAAGTGGTGCAGTTTAATTTTCTTACATGAACTCTCTAGTTTTCTCAACACCATTTATTGAAGAATTTTTCCCTTTTATATTCTTACCTCCTTTGTTGTAAATTTAATTGATGATATAAGCGTGGGTTTATTTCTGTGCTCTGTTCTGTTTCATTGACCTGTGTGTCTGTTTTTGTGTCAATACATACAGTTTAGATTTCTATTGCGTTGTAGTATAGCTTGAAATCAGAGAGAATGATGTCTCCAACTTCAGTATCATTTACTTTTTCTCTGGTCTTTATTATTTTTTTCCTTCTACTAACTTTGGGCTTTGCTTCTTTTTCTACTTCCTTTAGGTATAAGATCATTTAAGATTTTCTTTATTTATTGAGGTAGGCCTATATTGCTGTAAACTTCTTCCTCAGAATGGTTTTTGTTTCGTCCCATAGATTTTGTAATGTTTTGATTTTCATTTTTCTCAATTTAAAAAAAAAATTTTTTTTTATCCTCACTGGAGGACATTTTTTCATTTTTTGTTCAGATAGAGTGGGAGGAAGAGAGAGGGAGGGAGGGAGGGAGGGGGAGAGAGAGAGAGAGAGAGAAACATTGACGTGAAAGGGACACATCGAATGGCTGCCTCCCGCACGACCCAACCAGGGCTGGGGACAAACTGCATCCGAGATTCGTGCCTCTAGAGGAAACTGAACCCAAGTCTCCCTGGACCGCAGGCCAATCCTCTAACCGCTGAGCCAAACCAGCCAGGGCTCAATTTTTTTTTTTTCCTCTTTGACTTCTTTATTGACCCATTGGTTGTTTGGTAGCATGTTTATTGTTCGGCTTCCACATGTGTTCTTTCTGGTTTTCCTCTTACAATTAATTTCTAGTTTCATATCTTTGTGGTCAGAAAAGATGCCTGATATCATTTCAGTCTTTTCAAATTTATTGACTTATTTTACGGGCTAACATGTTATCTATTCTGGAAAATGTTCAATTCACTTAAAAAAAATGTGTATTCTACTGTTTGGGGATGGAATGTTCTGTACATAATTATTAAGCCCATCTAGTCTTATGTTTCCTTGTTGATTTTGTCTGGATAGTCTATACATTGATGAAAGTGGGGTTTTCAGTCCCCTACTATTGTATTACTGTCTCTCTCTCCCTTTATGTCTGTTAATATTTGCAGTATGTATTTAGTTGCTCCTATGCTAGGTGCATAGGTGTTTAAAAGTGTTACATTCTCGCCTGGCTGGTATGGCTCAGTGGTTGAGAATCAACCCATGCACAGAGAGGTCGCTGGTTTGATTCCCAGTCAGGGCACATGCCTGGGTTGTGGGCTCGATCCCCAGTAGGGGGCATGCAGGAGGCAGCTGATCCATGTTTCTTTCTCATTGATGTTTCTATCTATCTCTACCTCTCCCTTCCTCTCTCTCTAAAAATCAATAAAACAATTTTTTAAATGTTTTTTAAAATGTTACATCCTCTAGTTGAATTGATCCCTTTATTATTTTGCCATGCCCTTGTGTTTTGTTACAGTGTTTGTTTTTAAGTAAAGCTTCCCCAGTTTTCTTTTCATTTCTATTTACATGGTTATCTTTTTCTCTCCACTTTCAGAATGTGTATGTCTTCAGCTCTGAAGTGAGTCTCTTGTAGGTAGCATATGTGTGCTTCTTTTGTTTTTTTATTCATTCAGCCACCCTGTGTCTTTTGAATGGAGCCCTTAGTCCATTTACATTTGAAGTAATTATTGATAGGTAGGTACTTATGGCCATTTTAATTGTTTTCATACTTGCTTTATAAGTGGTTGGTCTACTACCTTTATATACATTTGCCTTTATTAATGAGTTTTTCTTCTCTTTCATATACTTTATTACTAGTTTTGGCCTTTTCTTTTCAGCTTGAAGAATTCTCTAACATTTCTTGTAATTCAGGTTTAGTGGTGATGAACTCCTTTAGTTTTTGCTTGTCTGAGAATCGCTCTTTCTCCTTCAATTCTGAATGATAACCTTGCCTGGTAGAGTATTCTTGGTTGTAGATTTTTTTCTTTTATCATGTTGAATATATTGTGTCACTCCCTTCTGACCTGCAGGGTTTCTGTTGAAAAGTCAGCTCAGAGTCTTATGGGAGCCCTCTTGTAGGTAACTGTCTTTCTCTTGCTGCTTTTAAGAGTCTCTTTATCTTTACCTTTTAACATTTCAGTTTTGATGTGTCGTGATATGGGTCTCTGGGTTCATCTTGTTTGAAATTCTCTGTGCTTCTTGGTCTTGTATGTTTGTTTCCTTTACCAAGTTAAGGACGTTTTTAGCCATTGTTTCTTCAAGTAGGTTTTCTGTCCCTTTTTCTTTCTTCTCCTTCTGAGACACATGATGCAAATGTTAAATACCCTTGATGTTGTGCTTGAGGTCCTTTATGCTATCCTCATTCTTTTTAATTCTTTCCCCTTTTTTTGATCTTCCAGTTGGGTGATTTCCACTATCCTAGCTTCCTGATCATTGATTCATTCTTCTGCATCATCTTATCTGCTGTTGGTTCCCTTTAGTGTATTTTTCATTTCAGTTGTTACAATCTGCAGTTCTGGTAGGTACTTTTTAAATATTTTTATCTCTGTTGAAGTTCTCTACTTAATCTGCAGAGTTTGATGAGCATCTTTATCACTGTTACTTTGAATTCTTTATCTACTAGATAGCTTACCTCCTTTTCATTGAGTTGTGTTTCTGGGTTTTTTTTCCTTTTTTGTTTGTTTGTTTGCAACATATGCTTTTCTCTTTTCATTTTGTCTGTTTCTATGCAGATCAGTTACAACTCCTAACCTTAAAAAACTGGTCTTATCATGAAGGTGGCCTGTGGGACCCAGGGGTGGAATCCCTTCTTGTCACCAGAGCCAGCCGTCACAGAGGCGTGAACTGGTGTGACCTCTGGTTGTGGTTGGTCCACAACTGCCAAGGACATTCTGACTGGCAAAGCTGGTCCCTGGCCTGGCTGGCTGTGAGGCCTGGCCACAACTGTTGTGGGCATGCTGGTATGTAGGGCAGCTCTTTGGTATGGCAGACTGCGAGGCCCAGCCTCGACTATTGCAGACACCTTGCTGTGTGCCGCTGCCAACTGAGGCTGCCCACCAGGTGTGGCCACTTAAGGGGTTGGGCAGTTGGATGGGTCCTCAGGGAACCACCAGAGTGGGATGAACATTGCTAGCAAGGTTAATGGAGAGTGTCAGAAATGGCAGCTGCCAGCATCAGACAGCCAACGTGAAAGGAGAGTTTTTAAAAGGGCGGATATGGTATCCACAAACACTCCTGTTGCTGGAGAAAGTTTCAATAGATCCCTGTCCCTCCAGTGCATGCCCTTAATCATCTTCACATATGACCCAGGTGCTTTTCAATTGCTACCTCTGTGCTCATTTCCTATGGCCCTTTGACTCTTCTGGACGTAAGCCCTGCTGGTTTTCGAAGTCGTGTGTTATGGAGGCTCATCTTCCTGGTTCAGGTCCTGTAGGCTGTGACTCAGACCCCTCACTCTTCAGAGGGGACCTCCACAGTTGTGATATCCCTCCCACTGTGGGTCACCACCCTGGGAGGGGGGTAGGATAGGTCCCGACTAAACTGAGTCTCTGCTCCTCCTACCCTTCTTAATGTGGCTTTTGCTTTATATCTGTAGTTGTAGAAAATCTGTTCTCCTAGTTTTCAGGTCGTTCTCAGAGAAAGCGGTTCTATATATAGTGGTAGTTCTAGTGTCAGTGAAAGGAGGTGAGCTCAGCATCTTCCTGTTCTGCCATCGTGAACTCGAGGCCAGGAGCCTTGTTCTTGAATGCAATTCAGTGTGTCCGTGAAATGTCAGTCCTTGCAGTTGGTGCACTGTCCCTGTAACAGATGTGTCTCCAGATCACCAAGTCACTGCCCCGGAACAATTTTTTAATTCCTTTTTCATTCTAAAGGTTATTTCTAATACTAACCATTTATGCATTTTCTCTTGTCCCTTCCTTAAACAGTGTGGTTTATGTGTCAAGCTAGTGGCTATAGCTGAACTTCTGAATTGTAAAAATTGTTTTTTATTATATTTACCTAATTTTATTTTTTAAGAGATGCTCTATCTGGGAAGCAGTTTAATCTGTTGAGGAAGTAATACAAAAAGCAATCAATATTTAAACGGTTTCAGTTCTGGTTAGTGATTTTAATAGGTTGATGAATGTATAACAGATTGTCTTCTATTTTCACACAGCATTAAAACTTCCTTTTGGCAAAACAACAGTGATGCATTTGGTGGCCAGAGAGACATTGCCAGAGCCAAACTCTCAAGGTAAGCCCGCACCCGAACAGGGTCGCGCTGGAGCCACAGAGACCAGCGTTCAGAATGGCTTAGCTTTCTTGAACAAGAATTCTTAGGGAAAGGGCGTTTTCATAGTTTATGAATAGAACTTGTTAAGTAGATAACCAGACATTTTGGAAACAGACTAAAATTAAAAGCATTTATTACAGCTTTTTAATTGAAAAACTGCAAACATTGAAAAAATACCTATGTGTTATTATGAGTAGGTACCTCCCTTCCCCCTCCCCCACCTCCATTTGGAGCATTATTATAAACAAAGCTTTTCTTCATTTTCTCTAGGTCAGAGGAATCGTGAGAAGACTGGAGAGAGTAACTGTTGTGTGATCCTGTAACACTGTCTGTAAGTGTGGTGTCGTCCTTGTCTTTCATGCTGCTGGGACAGAAGAGACCCAACATTGCTTCAGAAACCCTTAGAAAGTCTGCCTGTAAAGCCATGGAACTGAATGATCACATGAACGCTGTCATCTTCTCTCATGAAAGTAAAAAGAACCGAGAACATTTTTCACTATGATATTTTATTCCTAGTATTTTTGTTTATGTTGAGCAGTTTTAAAATAGGTTTTAGAATGCAGTCTCCAGGGGAAAAGTTAACAAGTTACCCATCATAGCAGAAACCTTTCTCTGCCACAAAAATTTTATCACCAGAACAAACAAATCAAGTGTTCCAAATTCAATTTGACATTATTTTTTTCATTAGCAGAATTTATCACGTAGTTTATGGTACCTAGAAATTTTCATGTATACAATTCCACACTGGAAAACACTCAGCAGTTAATGAAATTAATTACTGGTCCAACTGGAGGGGAAAAAATGGTAAAGAAACAAATGTTGGGTGGATTCTCCCCATCAGCCGTGGTGGCCTCCCTGGTACAGACTCGAACCAAGTGCCCAGCCTCCCCGCAGCCAGCGGGGGCGGGCAGCCTGCTGCTGAGGCGCTGGGGCAGCGGAGGGGCAGCTTGTTCCCTGGGACATGCGCTTTCTAGTCAGAGTGACCGGGCGCTTGTTCACACAGCACAATAGGGTGAGTGTGTTTCCTAGCCTTAATGGGGGGTAAGTTCCGACACTCGTAGATGTTCACGATTGGGCAGAAATATTAGAAAACCTCATTTACTGTTCAGTTTATGTATTTGAATATCAGTAGATTGAATCTTTTTTCATAATTTTTGCTCATCTATAATTGTGTCCAGTGTCACACTTAACTCATTAGAGAGTTCAGGTGAATTCTGAAAATTAAAAAATTCTCCATAATAACTGACTTGTTTCTTTATGTAGTTTGCATTTGATATTAGTGCTTGCAATTGTATTAAAATCAATTCTTTTGTTATAAATCAATAATTTAAAAATTGATATGCTAAAAACAATTTGCACAGCACTAAAGCATGAGCTAGTTTCATCTAAATCTGTAAAAATATAAAAGATTTTATATTTTTTCACTGGGAAGAAATTCTTCCTAGATGAAATTACAAATATGTGTAGATTATATTTAATAAAAAACTTATAAAATACCTAACTATAGAACTTAAATATAGATTGGCGTGTAGTATATAGAACAATATTCCATATAAATAACTTTAGCCTTTATAAAATGAAGTTGCAGGCTGACATGTTCTGTACTTAATAAGTATCCACGGTCTTTACAAACATTAAGTGTAAAGGGTTTCAGATTGTCAGCTTTGTTTAAAAGTAATCAGGTTATTTTATTCCTTGTTAATGCATTGATGAAAGGCTTTATAAGCAGTAGATCTACGAAAATATTGTTCATACTGACAGAATTAAATTTGTATAGAGCAGAGTTTTAAAAATGAATGTAAATAGCACTAAACATTTTCTTTCTGCAACCTGTACTTATAGATTCTTTCTGTAAACTAAATAAAAAAATATCGTAGTGCATTTTGGTGGTCAATTTCAAGGTCTTGATTAGGTTAGTAATTGTTTAAGCACTGTCTCATTCATGTGACAGTTGTCTTCTACTTTTATTCCTTAATCTTTAAAGGTTTGTTTAATATTCTCTTGTTAGTTTGGAGAGTTACTTACAATGTATCTTTGATATTTAACCTGGTTAATTTGTGCACAGTCAAAACAATGGATAGAATTATGTAGTCTCTGTTATCACTAAAATGTTATATTCAGAGATGTTAAATATTTATATGCTTTGTGAGTTCTGTTAGTGTTGACTAAAGAGGAATCTGGTAGTTACTTAATTGGGCAATTAAGTCATTTATGGCTCTATTCTTTTGTAAAACAAACTACTGGTAATTATTTTTAATACCTATTTTAATTCTACTTACTCTTCTGTTTTTCCATAGTTAAATACTATCAGCTAATTGTGATTGAATTTTTACGATGGTTAAAAATATTCTCTACTGGTTTTCAATATATTTTTCTGTGTGCTCCCACGTTACACGTTTCCCTTTCACAAGACCTCAATTTAGAGTTTGCAAAATGGATAAACTTGTTTATTAGTAGAGAAGAACTATGTCACTTAATATTTAATTTCATTGTTGTGCAAATGAAAAAAAAAGAATAAAAAAATAACAGTAAAATTATATACTGAAAACACCAAAAATATAGATGCCTTAATAGTGTATTCCTGAAAATACCCAATTATCTCTTTAAAATAGTTCCTTGGACTGCCGGGTGACTGAAAAATGATTGGTCACAGCCAAGGCTAATACTGAAGGCCCCTCTGCCGCAATGACGGTTCACATGTGGAAAGGTGGGAGCTGCGTAGACCCAGTGATGTAAACAAAGCCCGAGCCCTGGGCCTGTGACGGCCCAGCGCTTGGTATCCGTGCGTGGCACCTCGTTTACCTGATCATCCTGGACTCGAAGGTTCTGGACAAGGCTAAGCTTTCCTTCACCATTCACCTCAGCATGTCTTCTTGATCTGAACGATTTGCTTTCTCTTCAAGATACATTGTATCTTATCTTATCATTAAAACCTAGTAGCCCACATCATCATTCACACTAAATGAGGTTTTCTCATAAACGTTTATCCTTAGTTTTATGTCATCTTGACCTTTGTTACAGTAATTTCTGTTAGCTGATTGTGGTAAACAATGTTTAATGTGAAAAGAAATTAAAAGTGTCTTCATCTGTTGTAGAATACTTCTTCTAAATGATTTCTATTCATAATTTTGGTGTACTTTCCTATTCGTTATCTCTCTACTGTTTATCTTTTTTCCCTTTCAATTTACTTTATTATATTCTTCAGTAAAATCAGTACTGTGTGTGCCAGTCTTTATTCTTCTAGAAAGAAGTGATCAACCCAAATTCGGATTCAGGGTGCCATCCCTAATGGTGACTGTCACAGGCATGCCTTCAGTGTTTCTACTAACGTTTCCATAGACAGTCACTTGTTTGCTGAACAGTGAGACGAGGCTTCAGAGGAGACAGTACAGCCTGGAGTTACGGTGGAAACACAGGTGCATACTGCCGCACACAGGCGCCGGCCGCCGCACACAGGCGCGGGCCCCTGCACACAGGCGCGGGCCCCTGCACACAGGCGCGGGCCCCTGCACACAGGCGCGGGCCGCCGCACACAGGCGCGGGCTCCTGCACACAGGCGCGGGCCGCCGCACACAGGCGCGGGCTCCTGCACACAGGCGCGGGCCGCCGCACACAGGCGCGGGCTCCTGCACACAGGTGCGGGCTGCCGCACACAAGCGCGGGCTGCCAGGGCGGGTGGGCTTCTCGGACGTGGCTGTGACTCCTCCACTTTTCCCCGCCAGCCACTGGTGCCCTTTCTTCAGAAGACTGTACCACACGTGAAACTTACAGACGTGGTGGCTTCTGAAAGAGTTCGTGGACAGAACTAAGTGAAAGACATCTAATTCCGAGGTGGCCAAGTTCAAACGGCAACTAGAAGAGGATAACATTTATTTATTCTTTGTTGTTCTTTGACAGTGATGTTAAAAATGTTTGTCTTTCCATATTTTTTATATTCTGCACCCTCGCCCCTCAAAGACAACTTTGAAGAAATACAAAGTAGACATAGTAAATCAGCACTTGGGGGAAGGGATTGTCAGTCACTCCGGCGGTTCAAGCAACACCAAAGGAGTTGGGTAAGCAAACACACATTTCTTAATGGTTCTGGAAGGGGTTTGCGCCTTATGCAGAGACTCCCACTGGTTTCAGAGTGTAATTTCACATTTCAAACATCATTTGGTATCTGGTTTTTCTTTTTTCTTTTTTGGTACGTGTCCCTAGCGGGGACCGAACGCAAGACTCTGGTCTGCAGGCCGAGGCTCCAACCGCTGAGCCAAACCAGCCAGGGTTCTGATTTTTATTTTCTACACAGACATTTCTTGAGCCTTATTTTGGTGAAAGAGATGTCTATAATGTAATGAGAGAAACTTCGCTCTATTTATTTTAAATATGTTTTTATTGATTTTTGAGAAAGGGAGGGAGAGAGAGAAACATTAATTGGCTGCCTCCTGCATGCCCCGTACTGGGGATCGAGCCCACAATCCAGACGTGGGCCCTGACCAGGAATCGAACTGGGACTTCTCAGTGCATAGGACATAGGAAGACGCCCAACTAACTGAGCCCTCCGGCCAGGGCAGCTTTGCTCTAAATAACAGGAGGGGAACAGACTCTAGCAGGGAGTGGTGACGACCACCAGGGGAGCCAGAACTGCGTTTGTCCAGACACCCCATATAATCAAAGTGTGGGGATTAATCCCGCTCCCAGTGGACTGCCTGTAAGTTGTTTTTTTCCAACATTCTTCCTGGCCTCTCTCCCTTCCTCTTGTCTCACTTTTTTTTGCAAGGGGCGTTGCTTTCCTGAATTCCACTAATTTTTATGCAACCCCCCCCCCCCCACTTGTTTCTCAGAAGCATTTTTAAAATCTGGTCATTGGAACAGTGCCTTTGACTGACGCTCATTTGGCGCTCAGATTGCAGAGCCCCTGAGAGCAGCTGGGCTTGGAGTCAGGCCTGGCTTCGAGCGGGTGGCTGAACAAGTTACTTAGTCTTCGGACTTCTGTTTGGTTCATGGAGAGGATAAGAATAATGCCTATTTTGTAGGGTTGTAAGGATTATTTTTAAATAAATATGTAGAGCACTGATTTGCCCAAGAACTCCTTCTGCTCCCGGAAAGGGGACCGGCCCGGAGCGGGTCTGCCGGGGCCAGCTGCAGTGCAGGGTGCTCGACTGTGCGGCCCAGCTCCCAGTATGAGGCAGGCGAGCTCTGTAAGTGCGCTGATTAAAGCTGGGACAGTGAAACAAGGAAGGGTTAGGATAGAAGAAGCCACAGGAGAGCCTGAGAGAGGCTGCTTTGGCTCCCCAGAAATGTTGCAGGAAAGAGTGAGCCGAGGTGGGGCTGCTTTAGCTCAGGGGAGTCAGAGAAAAGGGGCCTTGGGGACAGGTTCGGGGGTTAGCCCAGAGCGAGCTGCTGCTGCCCACCGCTCCCCTGGCTAAGCCTTGCGGGTCTCAGAGTTTAGGAGGTAAGAGACTGAGCCCTGGGACCTGTGGTTTGAGGGTTTTTTAAGGCTGTTTAGGAGAGGTCTTGGGGGGATCTCAGTAGAATACCATCACTTTTATGCTGATGTGCCAAAAGGAGATGTATTCTCTTCTTCTGTTCTTGGGTGTGGCTGGCAAATGGCACTAATTGGATTTCCGTTGTCTGTCTCCCTAAGTGGGATGATTTAAACTATTTACCCTCTGGCTGGGAAGGGGAAATGCTCTTAGTGTCCTTGGTTTAGGGAAGGTAGGGTTTTCTAGATGGCTGCAAACTGCTGTTTGTCTGTTTTCCCTATTTCCCTTGCCTGGCTCCCTCACCTGCCTCAGATCTACCTGTGAACACACGGAGACTCGTGTGGTAATGATGAGGTGTCTTACTTGCTAGAGAATCATTGACCCTTGACCTGCTGATAAGGCCATCCCACAGGCTAACAGAAGTACCAGAACTGCTGTACTTGAGCTAATTTGAACTCAGAGAGAACGAATGATTCAGTGGGAATGTTAGGAGCCTGCAGAGGAAACAGTTGTGACCTAGATTTCCGTGATGACACGTCTGATTAAGGCAGACTCTGGTGTTTGCCCCTCTGATGTTCTTCCTCTTGCTGGCTGAGGGCTGATTTTCTTGGAGGAAGGGGACTGTTGCTCGCCCCCATGTGGCTCAGGGAAGTGTGGTTTTATGCCAGCCCCAGGGGCCATGCCCATGCCCTTTGGTGTGATTGGCTTAGAAGTGGACCTATGCTGGGCAAGGAGGCTAGAGTAGAGCCCCCCCCCCCCCCGAGTCCCCCCAGAGCCCCTCCCCCCCCCCGGAGGTCCTGGGCTAAGTCCTCACTCCCAAAGAGCTTAGAAGAGACAGTGTTCTCTGGACGGGCTGCACCCCTCCCCGGGACCCTGCCGAGCGGCTTAGGCAGAGCCAGCCCTGAGGGTGCTGAGCGGACAGGAGCAGACTCCTGGCCCCCTAGAGGACAGCCAGGGCTACTGCTTCTGCCCAGCGTGAGCCCCGCGCTGACTCCCACGGGCAGTCTCATGTCTGTCAGTGTGAGAAACGGGCCTGGGCCTGTAGAGAATTATTTGTGAGTTTATTTGAGCCAAACTGACAATTGCTGAGAAGCAAACTCTCAACAGATTGAGAAAATGCTCTGGAAAAAAATGGCAGTTTTGCACCTTGTTTTATTTACAATTACAATCCAAAGAGAAGGTGTAAATGGGTTACGTGACATCCTGGTGATAGATTAGGGAGGTGGGAGAAACCTCTGGGATGGATAAAAAGTAAAATGATACACACTTCTTTTACAGGGGTAAGTACAGGATAGTTACAATCAACAACATGATGACGACGACGAGGGGTTGTGGTCTCCTCGCGGGCACGGTGCCTGTGCTTTGAGGGGCCCAGAAGAACAGAAATTGCTTGGACCCTCCAAAGGTGTGTTCTCCTAGATGCAAAAAGACATTAGGCTCAGTTAAGGTAAAGACTGACTGGTCAGGGAAGATTCTAGCCTAGGACATGGCTACTTGCCATAAGCTGCTTTTAATTAAACTTCTAATTTCAGACTGTCCTTTGTGGCTACTTTCGGTCTCCGAGTTGGTAAGGCCACCAGGCAGGCCTCCCTGAGCTTGTCAGGTTTAGCATCTGGCCCCTTTTTGTCCCCAAGTTCTTAGAGTGTTTTCCTACTTCTGTTGCTGGTGGAAGGGGGGTCTTGCGATGTCTCGAGAAAAGGCATTTTTAGAGACTCACACAAGAGGATGCGATGTTGTAGAAAGCTTGACTTCTGTTGACTCGAACCCGAGTGTCGAAGGCCCGCTCCCCGTTGTGCCGCCAGGAAGACGTGCGCTGTGGTCTCAGCAGAGCTAGGATCGGACTCGCGTCCAGAGCTTTCGCTCATGTGAGGACATAGTCCGGGCCAGCATCGGGCTAGCTTAGTTTGCGTTTCCTGCTGCAGCCCTCCAGACCGGTGTGGCGTCCACGTGGCCCGCTACGGAGGGAACACGGGCAGGAGCAAAGCCAAAGGAGCCAGAGAGCCAAGAGAGCTCCTTTGTCGAGGGAAAAGGGGTTACGTATTTCCACATTTCCACGGGCTGGCAATGGCCCTGCCCCCTCTGGCCAGTGTTCTCTGTTCCCAGGTTAGACTGACAGGCATCTGCCCTACTCCCACCGACTTCACTGTGCACGTGTCCGTCTCCCTTTGTCCAGCCCTCCCCCAGTGGTCTGTGGGGAAGGAGCTGGTTCCCGGCGGAGTGCGAAGTAGCTTCCTGGTGAAGCTGCCCAAATGACATGCGCACAATGGCAGGCCTTCCCTTTGCTCCTTTCCTGTTACTAATTACCTGCCAATCACAGCGTGTCCTTGCCACTCAGAGGCTCCCGAAGGGTACGTGGAAGGCAGGGCTCTACTTCAGCACCTGCTTCAGACTTGATGAAGTTAGCTTACAGAAAGATGAGAAGAAATAGGAAGATGATCCTGTAGTCAGATCTCCCAGAACACGCCTCTGACTGTATGATCGCAGATTATGCCGACGATGAAGGGAAGACATCTAAGAAGACTGCTGTGCAACGAGTCAGCTTTCCAGTCTTACCATTTGTAAGGCATGAGCAGAAAATGAGGGTTTGGGTCTATGAATCAGGGATGAATAGCACATGTCAAACACCTCTGAGAATAACGTTAGAAAGTCCTGGAATGAGCTGGTGTTACCAGAAAATAGTAAGTGTGCATTTGCTGTGTT